CCCTGTTTCTGGCATCAGCCATAATTCTCATCTTCTCTTTTTTCCACCCCTCATAATTGAAATTTTAAGACTGAAAAGAATAATGAGCTTAATTTCTAAGGAAGTAGAAACCATCTGGTTTAGGACTTTTTTTTTCCCCCCCTTTTAGAAAAATGTCTGTCATTAACCAGGTTCAGTCATACAGCTAACAAGGCAGACTGCAGCTTGAGTTCCTCACAGGAATGACGCTAGAAGACACTCAAACAGCAACCCCTGAGTAGCAGGACCTTCTTACAGCCAAGAGTAATGATCTATCAATCCAGCAACGTGTCTTCAACCCAGACAACTGTTTTTGAGGTCCCTGTGACAACTGGATGCTGCTTTATGGTATGGGCAGTGCTAATGTATATTTGCCATGCTCCTGTATGTGATCATGCCCAGTTCTGGTCAGTGACAGTTGATCTTGGGTCCTACTCGATGTCCTGTTCTTGCATAAGACATGGAAATTTTAGACTTTCCCCACTGAGAATTTGGTTTCGGTTGGCAAAGCCTCTTCTGTAAGGACAGACAAGCCTCAGCGCTGAATGAAGAAAAACAAACTTTACTAAAATAATAAGCTCCACACAGAAATGCATTACAAAAAAAAAAGAAAAAAGAAAAAAAGCATAGAAAACAGTTCTGCTATGAGGAAAGCTTCACCACTCTCTCAAACTAAACTGCACAAAAATCAGTGGTTTTAATGAGAGATAAGATTTGAACCCAGTTTTACCCAGGCTGCACTGACTAAGGAGCAGCTATCCTGAGAAATTCATAGGGGAGGTCTTCGGGGTATTTTTTTGTTTCCCCCACTTGCATTTTAATGAGATCATTCCCCCTTAGCTGCCAGCATTTATATTCTTCAGCTGCTATGAGATCTTCTCTGCAGAGGCTGGTACCAGGCTCAGTTTTCAAAGCGACAGCGAGCTGTTTGGAACAGAGGCTTTGCCCAGCTTCCAGCACAGAAGGTAATGGGGTAATGGCCACGTGTGCTATTTCCAACCTGCATTTCTTTCCTTTGCTGAGAGAACGTCCTCCCACAAGACTCTGGATCAGTAACTCCCTGAGAATCCAGCCTGATCAGTGCTTAGGATCCACCTGAGATATTATGCAAGAAACTGTTCCATCTGTTACAGAAGAGAACTTCATCTGACATCTCTGAACAGAGAGGAGAACAATCATTTCTGGCTCTAAAATCAAGTTTTACTAAAAAATTTAATCAGACTCAGCACTGCTGAAGCAGAAAGCAAGACAGGAGTGATGAGAGCAGGCCAAGGGACATGCTACACAAAAGAACTTGTTGCAAATTGGTTTCCTCTGCCCCTTATCACTCAAACTTTTAAATCAAAGAGCAAAGACAACCTTTAATATTCCCATTTCTCTCTGTAATAACCTCGTTAGTGCCTGAATGAAGAACATGGCATCTTTGTGGTGGCATCTGGTTTAGCTGGTTTTAACCAATGAGTCTATAGACATGTATTTTTTTTTTTTTTTAAACATGAAACTACCTCTTTGGTACAATCACAGGTTTCAAATTTTATGGTTTTACCAACACATTAACTGCACTAGAGACAAGTGTAATGAATATGGCTTGAAACAAACATTCATGTTCAAATACTGATTTAATGCAGGACATAAAAACAATCCAACTAACAGCATAAAAATGTAAATTCAGTATTTCCCTCCATTTTTATACTGTTCTTCCAAATGTACTAAAAAACTTGATGAGTTTCCTTACACCAGAAATAGCACTGTGTGACAGAAGCACCTGACAGCACTGTTTCAGAACAGATTGCTCCAAGCACGTGTATCAGCAGCCGAATATCAACACAGAGACAATTTAGCTGCTCGCTCGGTGACAACAGCATCAGCTTTCACCTAAGCTGCAGGCTCCAAACAAGAGCCCAACAGCACAGAGGTGTAAACAACTCTTAGGGTAACTGGAAAGAGTTATATTGCCTTGTACTGTTCTTGCAAAAACTGTCCTGGTATTCATTTTAACTTTTTTTCTCAGGACATGGCTGGAAATATCACCCCATGGCATGTAATTCCTGGTAATCCAGTACATGAATACAGAATTAAAAGAAAAAGCTAACCACAAGTAGCATCAGTGGATTTCACAGTTTGAAAAAACACAAAACTACTTTTTCTTTCTGTTATTGACTGGGAGGGGTACTACAGAAGCAGCTACAAAAAGCAAGCCCTATCTTAGACTAACTAATCTTAAAATAAACTTGGGCAGAAGATAACTGATGGCAAATACACACACACTGCTGACAGGTTTCTGGAATTGGATCTAGTGCTCAGGCTTTGAATTCCAGTAGCTGAGAAATGAAGTTGGGCTCTAAAGCAACATTTAACAAAGGTCAAAAGGAGCTGATGAGGTCTTTGCTAGAGGCAATGCACAAAGGCCAAGAAGGAAAATTTCAGCACCTTTCTGTAAAAAAGGAACTCATGAGAAAAGAGCAAACTTAACCAGATCTCACATACTACAACAGGAGATAACCAAGAAACACAGAAGTAAAGAAAATAAAGTAATTCCTTAGCAATGCTGCAAAACAGCCCTGGAGATTAAAAATAATAAAGAGCCTTTACACTGGACAGAGCTGGATTTGGGACAGGCTTTTCTGTGGCCAGGTAGCAATTGTACATCACCACGGGCACAGCAGAGCAG